CGCTCTGTCAGGAAGGTCTTCCTAATGTGTAGCCGAAAACTCTTCTGATTTAATTCCAATCCGTTGGTTCTGGTCCGACTTTCTGGGGCAACAGAAAACAACTCTGTACAACCGATAGAACCAGTGTTCCCTCTATGCCAAGTTAGTGTGAGCCAGCTCACAGTTTTTTAGCCTCCGGCTCACACATCTTTGTCTTGGCTCAGGAAGGAGGTGGCTCCGGAGCAAACTCTCTACGACAGCCCTTCAGGGACTTGATTCAAAACCTCTCTCCAATCTTGACCGGACAACCTGCCCACCACGCGGTCTCTCTGCCGCCCACAGGAACTGTAGACAGGATCCAAGCCGGTATCTGTCCATCGGTGTTCCCTCTAAGCTGAGTGAGTGTGAGCCAGCTCACAGGTTTTTAGCCTCCGGCTCACCCATTTTTGTCTCGGCTCAGGAAGGAGGGCTCCAGAGCAAACTGATTGATGCAGCAGCCAAATCGCTCACGCGCAACTTTAATGCCGGCCGCTCACCAAGTAGGATTTTTGCTCACAAGACTCCACAGCTAAGAGGGGGCGTTGCTGTCCGACCAATATTTATCCTGCCTCTCCTCCCCAGAGCTGACAACAGCAGACGTTGAAACATGGAATCCCATTTCCTCAGCCCCGGGCCAGACCAGGCACACACCGCCCCCAAGCCAGGGAGACGTGTGCCCACTCTATCGCCAGCAACCTCACTGCCCTTCACACCCACCTGTGGTCTTGGCACCTGCAGCTTCCGTGTCCTCCTGCCGTGGGAACAAAACGGGGGGATGGGGGGGGGACAGAAAAGCTCAGCAACAGACAGGCGATCAACTTTACCCGCCACCCCGGCGTCCAACCCACTTTGGTTGCAGAAAAGCAAGCGGGGCAGGGTGGTGGGGGACGGGAAAGAGCTGGGCACCGTGGCACAAGGGCACGAGCCGAGACACCATTCCAGCACCTGGCAAACTGCAGGGGCTGAACAGATACACAAGGAACACTTACAAGAA